CTGGTCCTAAGTCATGTGACCCACTTACATACTCCATGGGCAGCTGTCAGGAAAAAAAAAATATACAAATGATAATTAAATGTTATAAAAACGAGGAAATAAAAAATACAAATGCATCAATAAATCGATTTTTTTTTTTTTTTTTTTTTTTAGCTGGGCAGAGAGACGTAAAGATCTTCTTCCACACTGACAGATTCACAAGTGAAAAAGTTGCATCTGGGCCAGGGTTGAGGGGGAAAATAAAGAGCTGGGAGTTGCTTCCCTTGAAATATGGCGGATTTTTACCCACTTCTCAATCTACTAACAGATTATGAAAATTCATGTAAAGCTCACAGGATACCAACATTTACCAACAAAAGCATAATTTTTTTTTTTTTTCTCTTAAAAAAAAATTGACAATTCATGTAAGTTACAAACCCATGAAAGAATAAATTTTTTCTTGTACATTTCATGCATTAAATGTGGTTAGTCAGATTAATAGACAATATCCAATATTATTATTATTATTATTATAAAATAGTTTTGAAAAGAATTGATAGTCACCGCCATTTAACAGTATGACAACAATAAAGTTAATACCAGTAATTCTAATGGTATTCTAAACTGTTGAACTATAGAAATATTTTAGTTTGGCAAGATCTTAACAGTACCTTCACAACAAAATGATATTAATTAACATTAATTGAAAAGGATTTTTTCATTAAATCTTGATGACAGGAGAATGACCTTAAATAGCCTGTCAATATTTTAAAGGTCAGATTCTACAGTTTTGTTGCTAGATTTTATTCTTTGTCATGAAACAAGCTGTATGTATCCAAAAAACCATGATGATCTCTGAAATATTTACACAACACTTAAACTGTTTCAAGCAATGTACAGCAATTTGTGGATAGAATATCCGACATGGAAGAGACGGGGTTGCTCCTGGAAATATATTTTTATTTTTTCAGTTATCATAATTCTATTTTAATTTCAGATAAGCTATAAAAATAAAATCTTTTTCCTGTCCAATTAGATCTGGTCTGTTTCGGGGAGAGGGACATTTTTAAGGGTGACCTCTTCAACTTGATAAAATGATTCTGTTCAAAACCTGATAAATTTTTTTTTTTTTTAATATTCAGTTTTACTCAAATTTCTTAAATAAATATAGATCCATACAAATAATTAAAAAAAAAATTCAAGTCAAGACTAGAATTTAAATGAAGCCCCCGATGTATGAGCCTCTGCATGCAACAAATTTTTCTACTAGCTTTTTACAGATGAATTTTAATTTTATTTTTGTCACATACATTTAAATCAACAAGGTAATTTTTAGATTTATCTCTGTATTTTTTAAAAATTTTTTATGAATTATTTTCACTATGATTATTTTATTATGAGTTTTAGTGATCTTGTTGCTTTTCATCCTTTCTGGATGGATGCACTTTTATTCTCTCTATTTATTACTACACCTATATTAATATTATTTTATTTTTCCTTTTTATTACAACTCTCTATCTAGATCAATGCATTTTTCATTATTTCTATTTTATTAATTTCTGAGTATTCAGTCACCTCCTAAATAGTTTTTTTTTATTTTATTTTTTTTTTTTTTTTCAGCAATCTATGTAAATATTCCTGATTTTGCTGAAGCATTTTACTTAGACATTGATATATATTTATTTTTAGTTATTTCTGCAAGGTCTTGTTATAGTTCAAAAGACTTTTGTAGTATTTTCCAACCACATTATTTATTGACTGTCCCCCATCTCCATGTTTATTAGAGTTACTTATTTTTTTTTCCCATATTCCTCACAATTTATTATGACCCCCTGCTTTTATTAGGTACCTGAGAGTATTAGTTCTGATCCATCTTATTGTTCCTTTCACGTCCCCAATAGTCTGGGTTTGATACTCTTCAAAAGCTAAATGTGTGAAAGCAGAAATATACTTGTTTCTGAGGAGACTTGAACCTGAATCCGGAACATCAGAATTCCATTTTTCATAGACATCACTTAATTATTTTGGCTTTGGAAGATTTAATAATTAAGCAAAACATAAATATATCATCTTTGTCACACTCATTTATCTTGAATTTGCTTAAAAAAGTTGACAAAGATGGGATACAAGTTTAATTCTCCTCAAATGCTATTATTTTATTTTTTGCACGTCTAGCTATATTGCCCCAGATCATTCAGATAAAAAGCTTATTGTGAGAAACTGGATGGAATAAAATTAGTAACAAAATAATAATGAAGAATGTATTGATCCAGATTGTTGTGATAAAAAGCAACAAAATAATAATGGTATCCTTAGTTTTGTGTCCATTTTGTTCTTTCTTCGACCGCCCCCTTTACTTTTTTAGGATAAATTTGTTTATAGTCAACAGATTTAACAAAGTAAATTATTCACTTGAAGGTCAGATACTGAATTATTTAAGAGTATAAAAATATTCAATAGAATGCATTAACAGTGAAATTAAGATAGTCAAGTAATTTTCATCCCTTACCTTTCTTAGTTTTTACATTTCCAAACATGATTTCTTTTAGCTTTTTAATAGTATCAATAAAAAAGCTACCATAATGAATTTACCTCGGTCTACTTGTAATTATCATTTATTTGTATTCTGTTTATGAATTTTGATTACTTCTCAGCTATTGAGGCAGAGAATGATTTTCATTCATTTAATTCTGAAATGTTGAATTTCTTCATTTTTTTTTTTCTTTTTTAAAGTATGGGTTTAGGAGGGGTGATAAGAATTTTCAGTATGTCTCAAAGACAGAATTTGAGGTGTTGGCTTTGCAGTAGGTCCCTGTGTGTTTGTCAGTGTGAACAGAAGAAATCTGACGAATGCTGCATTTCACTAAATGAAAATTTGATGGCAGTACAAATTTTGGGGGCCAAGTATGTTTTTTGTTCAGTGAATGCAGCCATGCATCACTATTATTAGTAGCTTTATGGTTTTATTTTATATATTGGGTATCTCGGGCAAGAGGTCAATTGGGTCAAATCCAGCAGTTTTGTTTTTTCTTTTTTTTTTGTTTAGCAGCAGTGAGGAGGAGAAAAACAAAGGCTTTTTTTTTTTCTCTTCATGACACAAATTGCAACACATAATGATTATAGATAGTTGATAAAAAAGGGAAAGGTTTTAAGTAAGGTAAAGTTAAGTAGAGTATGGGTAAAGATAGTGGGCCAAAATTTTGAAATCTTTTCTGTGTGTGAATATATGAGATTCAAATGCGATTGATTATGCCCCTCACTATTATAAGTGTAATGTTAAATTTTATTTCTTTTTAACCTTATTAAAATGTGAATAGCATATATGTAACTAAGTTTCCTGGTAACTGAGGATGATATAATCCATCTGCTTCAACAGACTCAATTGTCAGATGCCTTTTAGTTATGCGTATGCTTCATGTTTTAATAAAATCTAAAAAGCACATTACACCCTATCCTTAGGATATTTAATTGTAATTGAATTTCAATTGTTATAAGTTAATTAAAATTTTGATGAACTTATAATCATAAGCAAAACATTTTCTATATGAAAATTATGAGCAAAATACACTTGCATGGTGAATATAGGTTTAGGTTGATTGATTTTTACATGTTATATCTTTTTGGGTTAGTTAATGTTAAATTTTTTTTGGGGTAACTTGTGAGGATCAAACTCACTACTAATGGTCAACCAGATTAATCTTGTTAACCATTACCCCATGCTAAGATGTCCATGATAGATATATATAATTATTTACCCACTGCCCCACACAGCAAGATGTGGCGCAAGGCCGAGTTTAAAGTGGGGTATCCGAGTCCATAGGCTCATGCAAAAATTCCCTACAGACCACGTAAAAACGGAGTCAGTTTCTCGAGACGTGACTCCGCCCCTCATCTGGGGGATACCCTCTGATATAAGCCAGGTAAGTATAATTATTTACCCACTGCCCCACGCAGCAAGATGTGGCACAAGGCCGAGTTTAAAGTGGGGTATCTGAGCCCGTATGCTCGGGCAAAAATTCCCTACAGACCACGTAAAAATGGTGTCAGTTTCCCGAGATGAGACTCCGCCCCTCGGCAGAGCCTCGTCTGGGGGATACCCTCTGACATAAGCCAGGTAAGTGTATATAATAACCATAATTATTACTTAATTTTCTTCTTCCTACCAAAACTTGTGGTGTCTCCTATATATGTAATCATTACAAAGAACGAAAATTTTGACCTATTCATTTAATCAGGCCTATCTTTCATATTACAAGTAACAGCTTTTCCTTTTTCAATAACAGCTACAATTACTTAGAAGAAAAGTAGAAAATTTATGCAGTAACTCTTCTCTATAGATGTGTGAGGAGTGTAACAGTGGCACAGAAAAAGAAATTTGTGAGCTGAATTCAAATTCCAGCCAAGTTACATGCACACAAAAATTATTTTTTGAGAATTGTATAAATCTAACTCTTCTCTCTCCAGCTATGAGTTAAATAACAAGATCAGGCTCTTTAGAAAAAAGACAAACTGAATTCAAAACTGGTTATGTAGCCCTGTTCTGGTACATAAAACCATTGAAATAATTATGGAGTTCACAATTAACTGTGATGCAAGGTTATGGACTCCATGATTTTGACTGAAGTTGAATAATAATTAAAAAAACAAAAAAAACATGGCTGACCAATAAACTGTTCCTACCCAAGAAAATTTTTTTTTAAAGCAAGTATCATTTAATCTCTTACATCCAATCTGGTTCCAACAGAATTAAGTTTGTTTGGATTCAAGAACAAATCTGATAGTTAACCCATTAACTATGGCAAAAGAAAAGGAAGTCGGGGAGAGCCATGATCACCTATAGTCTGAAGAGAGAGAGCTCTTAAATAGAAAAAGGATTTTAAGGGAACCTAGATTTCTTAATTTAATGTTTATGAAACTGAACCTTTCTTTATTGTGTCGCAATGCCTTTGCTGTATTAACAAAAAAAAGAAAGCCTTTGTAACAATAGTGCATTTGTTTTTTGCACATTCTTTCCCCTCGTCTTATAAGCATCCATTTCTATCATCCACAGTGCCATATGGACGCATATACCCAGAGTCAGCAGCATTTAAGGCCTCACGGCTACGTTCAACTGCCTGCTGATAATTAGCAGTCGCTTGCAATGTACGTTGCATCACACCTAAACTAACAGGTCGCCGGTTATTGAAACTCAAGGATGCGCTCAACTTAGGCTTGAGTTTGATATTTGGCGGGGTTAGCTTAGAGCTCTCCCCAAATGTCTGTGAGATTTCTTCCAGGCTTCGGTCAATGCATGGCCCACATGTCTCGTCACATTTCTTGCCAAGGGGACGAGGACTGGGGACTGTACTTCCAGGGACAAATCCTGTTATGTTGCAGCCTGTGCAAACAGGGCTACGTTCAAATGTGCCTGCATCAATCCTTGGAAGTCCATCTAACAGTTTCTGGAGCTGTTGCTCATCCCCCGACCCACCCCCACCTAGGCGGGTGTCATCGACAGGCTTCTGGTTAGCTGGGACCAGACGGATTTGGTTGGGGCCAGTGCGAATGACTGAGCTGTAGCAGGGGGGTGAGCCGGACTGAGAGCGTGAGTGTGATCGAGACCGAGAACGGGGGCCATCGTCAATGCTGGAACGTTCAGCATCACGTTCACTTTCGTAGCCAGAACTTTTGTCGAAACCCCGTGAGTTGACGGTACCGCAGGTGGAAACAAAATCACCATCAGCAACTGGCACCGAGTGTGTGTAGTGCAGTATGCTGTTGATTTTTGTTGGGCTCATCGGGAGAATGTCACAGAATTCTGACTCATTTGAAGCGCTGTCTTTCAAGAGGGAGCATTCGCATTCACTGTCCACCTGAAAAAAAGACCAAATTCTAAATAGTTTAGACAACACAAACATATGACACAAATAGTGGTTACAGTCTTTTTTTATCATTTCACCCCAAGCAAGGTAGTAAAGCCATTAAGACACAGTGGGGTTACTTGAATGTATAAGAAAAGAAAAACATTAAAGAGTGAGAACAATAAAATAGAAATCAAGAAGACAGTAGATTTTCATTTCCATTTAAAAATGAATACAAAGTTTTATTTTTGGGACCGAGTAGAATCATAAAAAAATAATTGGCAACATTGTTGGTCCTAAACTTGGCATCTTGGCTTCAGTCACATTTCCATTGTGGTAGTGTAGCTTCCCTCTGCCTTTTCTATAAATACTTTCATGGTAATTGTTCTGATGAACTTTTGCTCCATGGTACCTAGACTTTATGAATTTATGCACAGTACTAGATTGGTGGCAAGGTCTCCTCATTTTGCAGGTGAAATGGATAGATGTAACTGTAGGTTCTATGCTAACAGTATTTTTTTTTTTTTTTTCAGTATCTGTCTATATTTCTGAGATGAGGTATTATGTACACTATTTACATTATTCAGACTATTGTCCTCATCTTTGTCCCCATATTTATTACGTTTCGACTGTGTACACTTCGGCCTTCTTTAAGGACACATGGCACAGTGGATAAAGGTGTTAGTTAGATCCAGTGACAGGACCAAAGAGTGTGAGTTCAATACCCAGTTAAGGCAGTGGAGAAAGAAGGCCGGAGCGTACAACGGCCAAAATGTTGTAATAAATATGGCAACAAAGTTGAGGAGAATAGTTTTTTTTTTTTTTTTTTTTTTTCATCGCACTTCTCATTTGTGGGACTCTCTTCTGGCTTCTTGCTTCCCAGTCAACGTTGATCTTCAATAATTTAAATACAATATCAATTATTATCTTTTGTATTTTTAATTCTTTTCCTTTATTGTCCTGTTTCCTTAATAGTAGTTTTTCTCATATTCTCTAAGACTCTTTGCATCCTAGTGGCTTTATTGCCTTGCTTGGGATGAAATGATTAAAAAAAAACAAAAATCTCTGAAAATGATTCAAATGCCATAAATTCTAATCATAATAAAAATGCAATAGAAAAAATTTCTAAAGGAAAAATGGATTGCTTGATTTTATGTTAACTCCTGATATGCCTTGTTATTTGTTTTTATTTTTAATGAGAAATTGGCAAGCTGAGTTTGATTTCCTGTCAAGATCGTTACATTCACTTTTGCAGAAATATCTTTGGAAAAGGTATGCATTCATCACTTTTTTTTTCCAGCTCTGAGTTAAATTGCAGAGCCAACTGGACTTTCTAGCCATGTTTGGTAACCAGTATCAGAGAAGGACAACTCTAAATTCAAAAATTGTATATGGCCCTGGTGGAGCACATATTTAGAAATGAGAAATTGGTGATTTGCAGCATGAAACCACTCTGATAATGAAGAATTTCATTTCTAATAGAAAAATGCTATAGAAATACTCTTAAAGCACAAAAACTGGCTGTGATATGTGGGATGGAAGTGCACATTTCTTTCAAAGAAACATTCAAAATTTCAAGCAACTGATACACCAAGGAAAGGCCAGAGAGTACACAGACAAAAGGTAATAGTTTGAACTAATATATACAATGTCTGTCAGGAAAGTTCCCAACCTTTTAATATTGACAAAATGTAGCCTACCTAGGACACTGCACCTTAATCTGTTTCAAAGTAATCCTTTTGAAAACTTACACATTTTTCGCATTGTCCCTTTCACTTTTCCAAACAATATGCAAAGTCCGCAGGCTTCAGTGCATTTTCCTTGCACATAGTATTTTAATGAGGATTTTACTTTTAGGAAAAGTCGGAAAGCACAGGGAACCAGATCTGGACTGTAGAGAGGGTTGCTGACAGTCCTCGGTAATATAAGTGCTATATAGGAATAAAGTGTCACTGCCAACACTTGAGTTTGAACATCGATCGCCAGTGAGCAAACACAGGCAATCCCATTATTGAATTAAGTAGATCACATGACCATAGAGGAAATGCACATATGTAAAAAGTAGCTGATGTCTAATTGATTGCTATTTCTATTCTATCCTCTATTTCTCTATTCGGATCACCATATGATGGCTACTATTCGAGCAAGTACTATTACTGCGAGATTATTTGAAGGCATCTGACACCAGCATTGTTCAATGGCGTACTATAGTTGTATATGCAATTACAAAGTTTCTACTACAATGAGCATTACGAAAGTAATGAATGAGTATTTGTTGGCATCACAAAAGTGTCAATGAGTATTCGTTGGCATAACAAAAATAAGGTTTTGCCAAAAAACTGCATGAGAATTAGCTTGCACACTCATTGGAAATGTAATAATCACAGTGTACAAGCTGATTTACATTGCACTGAGTAATCCCATTGGTTGACTGGTTGACAAAATTCCTCAAAGTAGTTCTTGATTTATTTAGAATGGCTGGGTATATTTTGGTCAGACTTTGTGTAATCATTAGCCACTTACCTGTATGGATTGTTCTGTGAAGCCTTTGGAAGTGTCCTTTAGTCGTGACCCATTCATTCTACATGTCCCATCATGGTTCTGGCAGTGACTACCTGAGCTATTTTCACTGCTGATGACCGAATTGACAGGAGAGATAAGAGGTAAGTGTGGAGTCTCGGGGGACGGCGACAGATCAATGGTCTGGCGGTCAATCTCTCGCATCAAATCATCAATATTCTTGATGCGAATAATTTTAGAGCGTGGTGAACCTCTGCTGCTGTTCACACTGCTTGTCTTGTAGCGATTCGGTTCATGGACCTGCCAGTGAGAGAATGGAGACAACGGGCTACTGTCTGGTGGTTCGCTGGGTGGAGGCGGCAGATTCAACCGAAAGTTGGCCAAATCCAGCAGCCGACTGGAAGGGTCAGGATTAAGGGGTTCCCTGCGATTATTAGGATGGTTTCCTTCTCTCATGATTTCGCGCACCTCCCGACACTCCTCTTCCTCTTCCTCCTCTGGACATGTGTAACCAGTGGCTTTCACATATGAACTATAGTCAGTTGGAGGGTTTCGGCTATCCATACGGCGAGGGTTCTTCAGAATGCCCCGTTCAGGGGGCTTGGCACTGTCAGGGGACATTATAATAATTGGTGGAGGGGGCAACTCTCCAATGTCACTTTCTTCTTCACTTGATGTCCTTTTCTTTGGCTTCTTTCGGCCAAATAATTTTTCAGCTCTGAAAAGCAAAATTTAAAAAATATTAAATCTAACAAGTTAAAAGAAATAGGGCATGAGAGTGAAAAAAAAAAAAAAGGCTATGTCCTCAGTGTAAATAAAAAAGGTTAATTTGAAAAAATATGTCCCTGCTCACCACACATACACAAAAATATAAAAAGAAAAGTTTCCACCCCAAATGAATAAAAAAAAAATAAAAAATTGAATCTCTCTCTCTCTCTCACACACACACACACACACACACACACACAGTTCCTTGCATACCCTCGAAACAGAAGACAAGGTAATATAAAAAAAAACAAAAAAACCATTGGGCAATAACCCTACTATACATATAAAAAGGATGATGTTAACAAAACAACACAGAGGAATATGCCCTCTATCCACCAAAATGTAAACAATGAGCAAAAAAGGAAAACCTAGAAACAATAAAAAAAGGCTGAGGTAAAAAAAAAAAACAAAAAAAATTTCTTGATAATATGCAATATCAGCCCCACCAAGATGGTGTCATAAGGCTAATAGCTCAAACTCATTGCATTGTGGGACTGGCTTCTTAACCATCACTCTGCAACAAATGTTCATGACATCAATTTTCTTAGCTTTGGGCCAGACTATGCTAGCTATTATAGTGGAGTATACAATGAGGCTCAATTATCAATATATTATTAATAGTCTTTAGGACTAGTTTGTTAACCATCACCCTGTATGTTCTTGAAAACAACTTACCTGTATGAAGGTAGAGAACCAAAAGTGATGAGACGTGATTGTTTTGGTCCAAGTGAATTTCCTGACAAATCTGTCTTTTTTCCATCATGGTTTGACATGAAACCCATTTTATTATTTGGATGCAGCTTCTGAGGCGTTCGGCGTCGATAGCAGAACATGGTGATGGCCAGGAAAAAGATGAGTCCACCCACGACGGAGACAAGGATTATAATCAACCACATCGTGTTGACTTCATTCGACTCTGCTGTGAACAAAAAGACAAGATTTGTTTGGTTTTTAACAAGCTTTTTCTTGTAAAAGTTATTCTTTGAAATTATCAGATTAATGATTAGAATTATTATCTAATGTATGTCCAAAAAGTATTCACATTTATATTGAAAAGAAAAATACCCTACCTAGGGCAAATGGCATCTTAATCCCCTTCAAAACACTCCCTTTGGAATCTCACACACTTGTCCAACCATCCCTTCTTTCCATTTTTCAAAACAGCCTGCAGTTGTCTTTCATGATTGCCATTAGCTGATTCTTTTCATCTTGTCCACTCTTTCAATGAGGTCTTTAGCTTTGGGAAAATTTAAGTTGCAGGAAGCTGTATCTGGACAGTAGACTGTTGTGGGGATTGATAAGCTTCAATGATGCGATCTTTTGATGTAAAGACTGCATGAGCTTGATCTTTATTTGCTCAGTCAATATGTGATGGTCGCACTGTATACACTCACTGGTACCTTACTTCTGATGGAGTAATCCCACAGGAGTGTTTAGTCTCACATACACAGTAAAATTTTTTTCTGATTTCTTGCCAAGTTATATCAAGGCTGCACAACCTGTTCTTAATAGTTTCTGGACAGACCTCCAATAACTATTCTATTCATATTGGTCTGTGTATCTTGGTTGTCATATCACTTCAATTGTGGTACCTTCTGATTGTTTTCAGGTGCCTGTCACAGTTCTGTGTACCAGTTCTTTTTCCACTCGATAATGACTTTCAATACCTGACCCAGGGTTGAACTACTAGGTAACTAGATAAACTTTAACAAAGGCCTTTATCCACAAGCAGCAAAAGTCTCTGCTTCTGTGGAGAAAGCAAAAATGATATCACAAGAAAGATTTAATTGATACGAGAGCCAAGTATCAAGTAATATTGTAGACAAATTTTAAGACCAGAAAATTGTTTTCATGGCACTGTTTAGCCCTGCTTTAAATATTGCTGCCACATATGGTCTGGTGCTTCTGCTATATATATATATATATATATATATATATATATATATAGCAAGAAAGAGATCCTTGATAAAATCCAAACCAGAATCACTGGTCCTGACCTGGAATCTCAGCTTCAGTCACTTTCCCACCACTGTAAAGTTGCTTCCCAGTGCCTTTTCTATAAATACTTTCATGGTAATTGTTCTGATTAATTTTCCTCCATGGTACCTAGACTTTCTGAATTTAAGCCCAGTACTAGATTGGTAGCAAGATCTCATCATTTTACAGTTAAAATGACTAGATGTAACCGTAATTTCTATGTTAACAGTTTCTTCTCTTGCACTTTTTGCTGGTGAAACACTCTTCCAGCTTCTTGCTTTCCAGTCAACTTTGATCTTCAAAAATTTAAAAGCAATGTCAATCATTATCTTGTCTTAATTTCTGTTCTTTTATTGTTTTCACTCTTTTGTTTTTCTTTATACACTTAAGTAACCCCCAATGTCTCGGTGGCTTTATTGCCTTGCTTAGGGTGAAATTATTAAAAAAATGTAATGTTTTTGTATAGATTAATAAGAAAATGACAGAAAATCTTTCAGACATAAAAGTATTTTTTATTCAACTCCAGGATTCATCAATTAATATAAGCTTTAGTGTTTTTTTTTAAATGTGAATTCTTCTTCATAGATTAATGCAAGTATATATAACTTATAACATAAATTCTATATGTAGAATGTAATTGCATTGAAAATCAGGAATATCAAATCGAAACCTTTATTTGATTCTCTGAATTATGCTGCTCTCATCCAGTCTTGTAACCATCAATTTTTCCTAATGATGCCAATCTATCTTTCCACTGAATAAAGAAGTAATTCAAAACTATTTGATCCAACATTCAAACTCATTACTTATAAAAAAACAGATGAGCTTTTACTTCTGCTTTAATCCCATAAATTTGATAAACATTGTACTTTAGGAATTAAACATTCTTATGTAATTTTGTTGAAGAAGGGCAGAAGAGAACAGGGAAGTTATATTTTTCTTAAAAAAACTATGCTCACCTTTGACAATTGCCTGTAGCGATCCTGTGACTGTAGAAGCAGTGGTAGTCAATGAGGGCTGGAAGGCTGGGTCTGGTGTGACTGTTGTCTTGAAAGTAGATATAGGTTTGTTAGTTGTGGTCTTTCGGGGCAGAATGGTGGTCTTATTTGCCACTTTGTCACACAGCTCACCTGTCCAGCCTTCATTGCAGAAACATGTGGAAAAGGTTGTACAAATCTGGAATGAGAAAAAAAATGGAAATATACAAACAGAATCACCAAGTTTTAAAGACAGAATTTAAAAAAAACAAGTGTTAATGAAAATATAAAAACCTGATTTTACAAAAAAAAAAAAAAAAATTCATTAGCTTAAAACAGGATCTGAGTAAACTTGTCACTGCATGTTTGTGAAATAATACTAAATTTTATTTAAACACTTTCAACTCAAACTATCAATTGAACAGAATAATACTCTAGCATCTTATTACCATAGTACAAGAACTCTGATAAAAGCATATATCAAAATGTTAGTGTCTATATAAAGCCTTAATTTCTTTGAAAAACCTTATTTCCTGGACATGCCTAAAGACATTTTCTAACTCTATTTTATTAATATTCTTATTATATATTATGATGTATCAAAGTCTTTTCAATGTTTTTTTATAGAAATTTACCCCAAAGCTTTGGTGTAAATTTCTATAAAAAAACATTGAAAAGAAGACAATCTATGACTTGATATGTGTTATTTTATATTAGGATGCATAAAAATGTTTGTTTTTTTTGTTTTTTTTTGACACAGATTATTTATTATTCCACCATAGTAATATTTTTATTATGGGGGGGAAATGATATATAAATTTTTATATCTGTCTATATTTATGAGATGAGGTATTATGTACATTATTTAGACTATTGTCCTCATCTTTGTCGCCATATTTATTACAATGTTTTGGCCGTTGTATGCTCCAGCCTTCTTCAGATGGTTGGAATGTCGAACTTAACCCTTTATTTCGCTCACTGGGGTAGACTGTTCTAGTTCCATGTGCCATGTTTAATGGATGTCCGTTATCAGTTATCTCCTGTTAATTTCCCTCTGAAAGTTCTCCACTGCCTTAACCGGGTATTGAACTCACACTATTTGGGTCCTGTCACTGGATCTAACTAACGCCTTTATCCACTGTGTCATGTGTCCTTGAGTGTATGAATTTCTGGGTATTATAAACCTAATGTCTTCAGCAACCACTTTTACCAGTGCTCATATTGCAACTTTTGTTGTTATCACTTTTCTCTGGCACTCCTTATTACTGGTTCCCATATTGTATTCATTTCTATGCTTGGTCGGCTCAGGAGATTTTTGTGGCCTAGCATATCACCAGCAATGGTGAATATATATTCATGGAATACTTTGAGGAAATGGCATTAGAATCTATATCTCTAAAGCCAACTATATTGTTAAGGTACGTAGATGACACCTTCATACCCTGGCCACACCAGGAAGATGTTCAGGTTCTACTGGACCATGTGAACTCAATAAGACCTTCGATACAGTTCACATTCCTGGATGTTCTAATATCTCTAATAGAGCATGGGTTCAAGACATCCGTATACTGCATATAAATGAGGAGTGCATGTTGGTATTGACCATTGGTACCCCAGCATTAGTTCTTCATTTTGTAACAGATATGTTAGTGTGTATCGAAAGAGTTTTTTTTTTTTTTTTTTTTTTTTTAAACAAAGCTTTTGATTTCACAATATATAAATGTACAAATAGTTAAACTGTTGTTGGTGCAGAAACTAAAATAACCAAGTTGAGTTGTTTATTTTTGTTTCATTCAATTTGTGCTAATGGCCTGTGTAAATAAAGCAATTAAAATAAAGATGCAAAAAATACTGGTCAAAAATGAATAATAGTTGACAATACTTTCTCACATAAATTTGAAATGAGTGAGACAATTTTTAGCAGAATTAAGTAGAAAATAGATTTTTGTCCATTTAAGCTTAAGTAGATTTGGATTTTTTACAAAATTACATTAACTCCCTTGAACTTGGCATCTCATCTCACACATAGAGGCCACAAAATGGTAGGGGTAGAAATTCAGTGTGAGTTGATTTTCTCTAGGCTGAGATGAGATTAAAAAAAAAAAAGAAGTTCTTTTTCTAATGAAAGTAAATCTTCTTACCCCATTGCCTGAACATGGGATGTTATTTTCGTCTCCTGGACAAGGCGGACGTTTCAGCTCCATAAATGATGTACACTGCTTATGCAGGCAGATTCGCTCATCCCCACATTTGGTACCATCCTGGACAAGACCTCTGTTGGGCAGATCCATGGCTGTGGGGCCATGCATGATCCTAGCAAATCAACAGAAAAAATAGATGCTTTTAAATAGAGAAAAGATAGGTGTAAAGTTTTGGATGTGGTTAGATTTTTAAAGCACAAGACTGACAATAAATATTACTGTAGACTTAATAAGAAAGTTAATCAAAGATCAATTTCTGAGGCTTTGTGATTGTAACTATCTATGTATGTCAGTGTATTCAAATCTATCAATTTCTTCACATCAGTCAATCTATTTGAGATTATTCATAATCGTATCTTTTTATTTCAGTCTACCCATATTTGAGTGTGCCTACCTCAGTCTGTTTTTGTGTCTTTTTAGCGACTGTGGTCTATTTGGATATTTTTATGGAACTTTTTTCTTTTAATACCATCTGCGTTCAGAATGTAAATGATGATGCCACTCTACAATTTTTTTCTTTATCAGTGAATTGACACGCATTCTTGGGATAGATAATAGATTTATTTCCCATTGCCTTCTTGACAGTTTGGAATTCAGAGTTTTCCTTCTCTTAGACTTGTGAATCAAATCCAGTCTAGCCTGCTATTTAACATGTAGTTGGGAGAAGAGATCGATTCATACCATTTTAAAGGACATTTGTGTGAAAGTGAATGCAACAGACTAGCCTAGTATTTGAAATTGGCTTACCAATTTCATTTTTTTGCACTAGTTGCACATCATATTTATTGACCCCTGTCTATTTCTGAGTGCAAGTTAGTTGCTCTGACCAGTTGCTTATGTACTGAGGAGCTTGTTAACAAGCAAGTTTCACCAGCCATTGATTGTATAAGGATGCCAATATTAGGCACTCCACAATTATGGTCTTGTACTAGTCTAAGCTAAGTTTAATAAATATCAACTTTAAATGCTTAGGCAATGTAGCAAATAAAGAGCTACTATATATATATATTGTCAGCTTTGACAGAATACCAATTTGGACTTAAGATAAAGAAACCTTAAATGTGTTTTAACAATGGCATTTGATAGTGTGAAGGTTTGATCATGATGATGTCTTTTGTTTACAAGCAGTGTATTGTGAGGTCATGTGACTTTTTTTAAATTTTGATTTTTTTTGGCTCCTCACATGTTACTGTGGGGTGTGTCAGTGCAGTGGCTTGCAACTGGGTAGCATAAAGTGCTAGGAGGACAAGTCAAAGGAAAATAAAACTTTTTTGCTTTTTTTACCATTCTGTTCCACCAAGAAAGCCTGAAATTCTAAGAAAAAAAAACAAAAATCACAAATAATAAAACTATTTGAATTAAAGAAGCAAAAATTAATCTAAATATCTGATCATTGATTGAAGGAAAGACCTGAAACTTTAATATTTACTGCCATCAGAGACACGTGTGGGATGTTGGATATTTCATTGGACTCACATTATGTATTGTGGGATGAGTACTTGTACAGTAATTGGCTATGGTCAAGTTGGTTTATAATTGGCAAAAATACTCAACAAACAGAATTGACAAAGTTCTCAAATAAGAAAATGAACAAGATAAAATAATACAAATCAAACAATTATATGTGCAAGTCAATATTAGGCAAAGCAACAGTAATAAGGTAAAAAGGTAGTGAAAATGGTGACCACACACTAGGGATACAGTGAAGTGTTTGTAGTGTTATGACTTCAAGACAAGAACAAAAATGTCAGATGAGATTGAGAAGTGGTCCATTTTATTAGTTAAGAAGAAATCCCAGCATGCATCTGTATGATTTGCCTATTGAGGAGGGGATATTTTTAGCAATCATTCCCATTGAATTGGAACCAACAGTATTTCATCTGACAAGCATGTACATCCATTTCAGGTTTTTTTTTTTTTTCTAACAATTAAAAAAAAAAAAAAAAAACTTTCTTGGTATTATATATATTTTATATTATTTTAGAACTGTTTCTTTTTTCCAAAAACAAGCAACATACAACTATAGAAAAAAAATAACCAAGTCAGTATCATGGATGCTCATTAGTGAACATCTTTATAATTTAATTTCATTTATTAAAATAAAGCATAAATAGTAACTAACAAAAATATGGATGGCATTATGTAATGCAGTGGTTCTCAAATTTGCTTGCACCTCACCAAAGAGAAGTCCCGGTGAAAATGTACAAGCAGCCCTAGAGCAAAGAAGGTCCAGAGAAAGGGTTAAAAGGACAGTGGATTTGAAGTCAGAACATTATCATTGATAACTCTCCCTTCCAATTTGCAGACTTTAGTTACTATATTCTTAATACTTGATATAATTAAAAAATATCACATGATAAAATCGGTCAATAATAATTTATAATTATTTATACTGGAATTCATGCATGCAATTACAAATAATCTTTAATAATATTTCAAATTTTGAGATCATATTTATTTTTGGCATATGAATTTTTTGAAACTGTTTCTAAATCTTTGATTGTCTTTCAATCAGAATGACCTCACCTGCTGTCCTCTTCCGCTGCACTTATGAGGCATGCTGCACTGTTTGAGAGTCACTGATACAAAGATTCAAATATTCCAAGAAACAGTGAATGTATTAATAAATTTAATTTTATTTACAGAATAAAGCATTAGTAGTTGTTGGTTTCAATTTGAGGAATGACTGTTAAAAACATCCCTTCCCTAAATTTATACATAAATGTTACAGATGAATGCTGGAATTTCTTCCTAACCGATAAAAATGGACCACTTCTCAGTTTCATCTGCTATATTTTTATGTCAGAACACTACAATCACTTGAATATATCCCTCTTGTGTGGGCACCATTTTTTACTTTGTGACCTTATTATAGTTGTCTTTATATATATAGCTTGTTTAGTATTATTTTGCTCTTTTCTTCCTTTTCTTATCATTTGGGAACTTTGTCAGTTCTGATTGTTGGACATTTTTGCCAATTATACTTAACCATGATCAATTACTCTACGGTAGTTTTATAGCAATTTGTAATTGGAGCTAACACAAACATGGATGACAATTTCACAGAATAAAGCCTAAGTAGTCTCATAGTAATTTCTAATGGTAACTAACAAAAACATAGATGGCATTATGTAATTGTTCAAATATTCATGGTAGCGTTTAAGTACATATTATGTAGTTAGTTGTTGAATCAATTTTTATTATTAATGAAAACATTACACAATTATTTAAATACAGAAGATTTTAATTTCACTTTAATGAGAAAATATGTTAATAACTTTTCTGTATTTAATTGTCAGAAAAGCTTTAAAAATTAAAAAAAATGGTTTCACTCAGACTGTCTCAAAGAATGTGTATTCATTTTCTTTCAAAAATAATTTTCATGCTGTTAATGGCTGTTGCAATGTGATAAGATATATATTTAATGTCTAATCAGGAGAGTTATTTATGCTGTTATTGTTTCTGGAACCCATAAAAGAAAAACTTTATTTATCTCAAGAATATACATGTCACCAAGTGTTCATGTGCTGCCATTCCAAATCAATTTTTTGTCAAACTATCTTTGGTCTTAGAATTCACAAAGCACAAGGCCTTTCAAAGGTTGGCATTTACCACAAGAGAAATGAATGTTTCTCTCATGGACAGCTTTATGTGAAGAGTAAGAAATTCATATGGACTTTGAATAATGACAAAAGGAATTTAAGAAAAGACATCTTGCTGAAATTGTTATTTATACAGAAATTTTATGCATGTTAGAAACAAAGAAAAGAGTAGGCAATCTCCTCACAGATGAGACTTGAAGCAACAGAAATGTAGTTCTACAGAAGGATGCTGAGAATATCATGGACTGAACATGTGAACAACAACAAAGTTTTAGAGAAAATGGAAAGAAAAAGGACAGTTATACTTAACATCAGGAAGAAATGGTTGAAATTTCTAGGGCACAAAACAAAGAAAGTGTTGGGTATTCCTAAGAGTTACTTAAAGGAAAGTAACTACAATTCTGGGTTAGTTATTATTACAAGCAAAGTATTCGCCTGTATTAAAGTGTAAATAAAGTGTTTGTAGAATTGAATCCCATTGCCAGTCTCCTTGTTACCAGTACAACAGCCATTATAAGAGAAAGAAGGCTAGGAAAATTTGATACTCACAGGGACAGACTTATGGCAAGAGGGTCAGAGGAAAATATTGCAAAGCCTACCTACTGAGCTTGAATAAATGGATGGCTGAACAAGGTTTACAAGAGATAGCAGAAAGTAACAATTTATTAAGTGTGACAAAAGACAGGAAGTTGTGGAAAGCCATGATCACCAACATCTTGAATAGACACAGCACATAGAGAACTTTTATTACAATTTACTTTTCCTTGTTCATAAGACTGGTTGGTATCTGGCTATCTTTCAAAACATAGATAAAAAAAAAAAATGGAAATTAATGTTCTGGTTGAAGGAATATTATTCCATGATATTTTAGAAAATTAATGAGAGATACTTACTTGCATTCAAATTCCATATTATTGGAAAAGACAGTTGTCTTAGAAAAAGCCATCTTCGCCTCATGAAGAGGCCTCTTCTCTCCCCCGGCACAATGCAGTAGGCCACACTGCACATTCCTGTGTACAAGACAAACACATTGAATTATTAATTGCAACAAAAAAGTTTAAAAAAAAAGGTTGTCATAATTCTGTTTGTCCCTCTTTTAGTTACTTAGTGCAACCATTATGCACTGCCAATACTTATTCTATTTTGATTGTGTGGAAAGACGGAAAAGACATATTAGAGATACAATTTGGTTTCAATGAGAAAATGAAAGAATGAAGGGAAGATAGTATTTAATGTGTTTCAGTGAAATGGAAAAAGTTGTCAATTTCAAATCTTTTAATTTGTACCCTATTACTTCTTTAAATGGCAACTAGCATTCATATTTATGATTTGTTATTGTAATATTTTGTTAAGCTCAAATATTTAGGTGAATTTCTTTGGATATGTTATTGACATAGAGCCATGAGCTTATTCAATCATTAACTGAAGAATTAAGATTCATAAGAAAATTAAAATGGGAAAAACATGAAATATTTTCAGGTATTTCTAGTTAGATTTGAATATTTTTCTATTCTTTGCTTTATTTTTTGCCCTACTATTGATGGTTGATTCCAAGATATAGGATATTATCATGATGGACTTATTTTTCATGGCATATAGATATGATGAATTAAATGAACATTATATAATAACGTTTTTTGTTTTTTTTTAATTGATTGCTTCAGTAGAAAAATGGAAATAGATAAAACTTGCAGTTAATGTGGGGAAAATTACTTTTGTTGGTTTGTTGTATGCCCTAAAAAGAGATGAGAAACACTGCCCTTGATATACAATTGTTATGCCTGCAGTACACGTAGTGCCTCTATGACTAATGATGTGATATTTAATGTAAGTTTGATAAGCTAGAGTGAATTAGTCTGGCTCTTACTGTTAAGGATAAGATCAAGATTTTGAAATAAAAGGCAATGAATTTAATCCATGCTTAATAAACATCAACTTACTCTGGTTGGCACTTGGCAAAACGTCCAGTGACATTGTCTCGTCCACAATGACCATTAAAGTTGCCTGTTGGATTAAATTGATCAAAGCATCGGTAATCTCCTCCTGTGGCCTCTAAATAGAAAAGACAATGACAAGTGGTTAATCTAAGGTGGGTGGGGGGCAGTGAGTAATCTTCAAGATAATTTCAAATAAATGTTTTTGGTTTGTTGATATATATCTTTTGCTGCTATGTTGAAAAGCTTTATATAAAAGATGAGCAAAAAAAAGAAGACTCCATCATCAGTTGAAGATGAAAAGGTTTGGTTGATTTTATCCTAAATCAACCCTTGTTGGGTTATTTAATATTCCACACTGACCTTACTACTCGATTGTAAGGTTAATGTTGGTTGATTTTACAATGTCAAATCTTGTTGGGTTTGTAAGGTTTTAAATAGAGCCCCTTGCCCAGTGAGCAGATAACCAAAGTGAGTTAGTGACCTTGGCATAGTTACAGAGGTAGTTAAGACCTGAGAAGAGGTTGGAGCAAGATGTGCCACAACCAGTGGAGATCAAAAGATATTCATATAGGGTAACCTACGACTTCACTTTAACTTAAAGGTAATAATATTTTAGAGTACAATCATCCCCTATTGTAAGTACAATGTTTATGTCCTGTTTTATTGTCATTTTGCATTGTTACCATTAATAAAATGGTGAATGTATTTTGCCCCCCCCCCTTTCATTTCCTTAGTATCTCATATCTATATTTTGGGAGAGCTTGTGGTATGGAGGCCATTATAAAATAACAACAAGTGGTTTAATGTCCCATTTTTTATGGGGCACACAGTGAGGATCAAACTCACTATTCAGTAATAATGGTCAGCCAGACTAGCTTTGCTAAACATTGCCCACAATGATGCCCAGTTGAAAATAAAACTTTTTCTTTCCTTTTTAACAGATTTCTAAAGAAATTAATTTGCAATGCATTTTCTTGAATAAAACATTGATTGATTTTCAACAATGAAAAAGGATTGGAAAGTTGTCCAGATGAATTAATGTTTTTAAAACTGCATTCAAATAGAAAATCTTTGATAGATTTTAAAGCATTTTACTGCCAAGATAGAAGCAATAATTTACTCATTGAAGTGTTACTCTTACCTTCTCCCCAGATGGCCTGACATTGTTGACTTGTTGTAGGACAGTAACCACTGTAACAATAACCACTGTTATTGGCACAAGGCTCTCCATCTCGGACACTGTTATCAGCTGGACACTGGAAAACAAATCTCAAATACATAAGAAATAATTATGCAGTCAATTTGACTAAGATCTTAATTTTATCATGACATTTCCAAAAATAAAGTTTGGGGCCTAAATCAGATATTTTAAAGATTCTTGATTGTGTGTGTGTGTATATATATATATATATATATATATATATATATATATATATATATATAATATTTAATTTTTAATATTAAAGTAAGAAAAGAAGGGTTTATTTAGCTATTCCATGTTTCTTCTAATTTCCATTTTAAAACTTATTTTCAGGGAAAGGTGCTAACTAGACATACATTTTGAGGTGTTACTTTTCTGTTTGATATGACTATTATATTTCTATATATTAATATAAACAATGAAAATAAAAATATTTTCTTTCATTAAGAATGACAAGAGAAACAGATATTGATGACGTCAAATATCTTTTATAAACAATTAACACCTGCCTACATTATGGTTTATTATCTATCGTGCTGAGTGTATTTGTGCACTTGCTATTTAAAATAAGAGCTTTTTTAAACTGAGTAAAAATTTCTGAAAATGTGTACTTGTGTATATTATGACACTCACCTTTTTTCCCTTGAATTTTTATTAAAAATTTCTCGTATTAGGTACAACAAAATATGGTAGTGTTACGAGGATGCATTTCTATAATAAGGAATTCCACTGAGTTCTACTTGTTATTACAAAAAAGTTTTCATTCATGAAGTAGTTGTAAAATAGAGAAATTAGAATGTTTGGAAGATTCTAGATCATTCTAATATATTCGAGAAAAATCTAGATGATTCAAGAAACATCTAGAAATATGCAAATTAGGTGTTAGCCCCTATAAAAATGGGATTTTGGAAAAGGGTTGTCAGTTGATGAATGAGAATTTCTGCTGTTATCAACTCCGGCTTTTGGTTCAAGGACTATTATATCCAGCCAAAAGTATCTCTATAAAAAGTTGCCGACCAACCAAAACCCAAAAGAGAATTTCATGGAACAAATTTGGTAAATAGAATTTTTGACTAATTTTCATTGACCAAACTAAAAATTAATATTTATTTACACACCTTTGTGGATTTCCAAATATAGCACTTAGATTACTTCACTAGCCCTAAAGTGATAAAGATATTTGACTCCCTTTCCTTCTCCCTCGTAACACTTGCCAGTAACTCTGTGTTTTCTGTTTTGTAGGCTACAATTGTCTATCCTGTATATATTTTATGTTCTGTTTTAGTAAATTAAATATTTGTTTGTGATTTAGCTCTGTGTTGTGGTAAATCTTTTTTTTTCTTTGTTACAATTATCAACACGTAACAGTAGCAGCTAATAATAAAATAGAACAATTATAACGATATACTGTAATAAGTTATGATAGATTATTGAAAGAGTCTCTTCAAGCTTTAGATGAGAATAGTGAGGCTTGGGCTGTTTTTGGAGGTTAGTGTATATCATCTAGGTTGAATGAGTGAAATGTTTTGTTTTTTAAAAAAAAAGTTCCTATGATGAAATAGATTAACGCTCAAAATAAGTTCTTATGATGTTTCAATGAAGAGAGAAGAAAAATGAAATACAACAAATGTACTTCTACAGAAGGATGCTAAAAATGCCATGGACTGAACATGTGAGCAATGAGAAAGTATTAAAGAAAATGGAGGAGGATACTTTTCTTTTTCTTTTTTTTTTTTTTTAAATCACTTACATTCACCTGATACAAGGCCCAAGAGCCACTCAAGGTAGAGGATTACTGAATGAGATTGTTTTATGAGCATAAGAGGAGGAGGTAAGTATTGCAGTTTATGAGGATACGTTGGAAAGATAACAGTTAACCCTAGACTTGAAGAGGTTAAGATTTTAGAGATCAGGAAAACATTCTATTAGGAGTTTGTTCCACAAAGTGGTTCTGGGATGCATAATGAAGAAAAAGGCTTGGAGAATTTGACACTCACAAGACATTGAAATAAAGAGAGGCAGATGGAAACAGTAACTTACTGAATGAGCCTGTATAAATGAATAACAGAACAGGGAATAAAATGGATAGTAATGGGACAAATAAAAATATAGTAATGAGACTATAAAGGATAGAAAGTGGTGAGCCATTTTTCTGAAAATAGAATGTATATAAAAGAAGAAAAGAAAAAGTTTAAGAAGACTCTCTCTCTCTCTTTGCTTTTTGTCAAGGTGAAAAACTTTGACTCAGATCTCAGTTGTTCATTATAATCATAAAAAAATAAAATGGCTGTCACTTACCTGACCAGTTTCACCATCACAGTATTCTGGTACGTCGCATTCAGTAGTATTCGCGCGGCAGACATAATTTGATGGTTGCACCTGTAATTGGAGGAAGAACAAGAAGTGAAAAGAAAAATGCTTTGAAGTGTTTAGATGATTACAAAAGCAATAAAAATAGAAATTAGAATGTTTTGTTTTGTGACACTTCAGCACTCTAATAATGGTCAATCAGTAGAACACAAAGGTTTTAAGTCACCAGGTATTTGGTTCTCTATCAATCTATGAAGTCTGTTCAGAAAATATTCAGCTATTTTGAATATCATGAGAATTGGTTGTGAAGCCTTGATATAAATTGGCCTTTGTAAGGCTTTGTAACTTGGCAACCAATCAGAAGGAACTTTACTGCATATGCATGAACAGAAAAAAAACTTGCATGATATGTGACTATTGCATTCATAGTAATCGAGTGAAATCCCATGCAGGATCAAAACATTGCATCACTTTTAACTGTCACCCCCTATGCAGTCCAGAATCGATTTATTGTGACTTGTCATTGAAAGGGATGAGATTTCAGATGTGGATGAGATTGAAAAGAATATGATGACACAGCAAGTGTCAGCCTGCAAAGTCCTCTTTTCGGATTGTCTTGACAAGTAAAAGAAAATTGCAGGGCATTGGTGAAATATATTCTTGGGATAAATTTTTTTTTCCTTTATGGGTTCTAGAACCAATAACAGCATAAATAACTCTATTGTTCAGACATTTAATGAAGTCCTGCTTTCCATCTGAGTTGTACATTATAAGAAGGTTGGAGAAGGGAGTTAGCTTTAAAAAGAATCAGATCAATAGTTTGAAAACCTATTGGTATCACACTGATGGGATACAAACAAACAGAAAATGAAGGAGAGAGTAAAATGGAGTAGAGGATAAAGAAAAGTATTGGAAAAAGTTAGTATTCAACTTTTCTATTGATTAGTTCTTTTGTGCAAACCATCACTCTTGCATTCAGTGAACAGTTGGTAATATAAATGGTGACACTTTCACCAAGAAGGAAATGATTTGCATCCAGAACAAACATCTGGAGGGAACGTAGTTAATACTGCCATTGATTCTGTCACATCTGCTTGACTTCACACATTTTTATTAATGAGTGATGTGGGACAAAATCCCAGATGAAAACACTGCTGACAGATGTCCAGATGCAACAGATTTCAAAACTGATATCACACTTTTGCATTTTTTCTTTACTTTTTCCTCAGCCAATATGTATGCAATTTGGTGCTTTTTTTGCAACTGAGCATGTGAATCTTTGCCACAGCGGAGGATAAAGAAAACTAGTGGAGAAAAAAAGGATTTAGTTGGAGAAAGAAAGATATAAAAGCGGAGAAAGAAGAGAAAAACAGTGAGAGAGGAGGGGAAAAATAGAGAAGAAATATGAAGAAAATAAAAACACACACACACAAACACACAAGGAAAGAAAAATGGAGGAATGTGCAAATTCATTGACTTACAGTACAATTGAAGCAGCATTGGCCTTCTTTGCATGAAGCCCATGGATATAACATACAAGTTTTGGGGTCACAGCATGGATCAGTGAGGGCACAATCCTATTAAAAATAAAATTAAACAAAGTTAATCAGGCATCTACACAAGTTTTGTGAAATGAAATCTCGAAAAAACATGATGGCACCAATCACCCAAGAAACATTCAAAAACTAATTGGAAAAAGAAATCAAAACATTGAAATGATCAAAGAACCAAACAACATTTATGATAAAAACAAAAAAAACCCTCTTAAACCAACCTCAAGTGTGCCGCAGTCACATTCTTCACCACGCTCCACTTTCTTGTTACCGCAAGTTTGTTGGAACGGAATCTGAAAAAGTTTTTTTAAAATTATAATCAATAATTCTTTTTAGGGGGTACAGATCAGACTGAACACTTTAGTCTTGCATAGCAGTCAATTTAGGAGGACAACTCTGAATGTAATTGATATCAAGACACCAACTGGTGTCTTGATATCAACTATAGAATGGCGACTCTTTGTCAATTAACTTAGAACTTTTAATGATAGGAATTTTTTTTTTCATGATGCTGACCTAACTTTGTTTTTTTGTGTTTTTTTATTGGTATGCTATTTATCCAGATCTAAACAGACTCCCAATAAAATGTAACATAAAATAGTAGGTAATAATTCCTGTTGTTGGAAGTGGGATTTCCAAAGGATATTAAAGCGAAATGGATACAGATTACCTCAACTGGAACCACGTGGCCGGCTACCATTCTTCAAATGTGAAATGAAATAGTTGTTCAGTTATTTCCCTTGCAACATAAACGCCTGCTTTGTCAGAGTTTCTCCCCTTTGAATATAAGTCAAGCAGTGAGTGGCTCATTTTTTTTTCTTCTTCAGACCGTGGAAACAATAAAATTCGGTCTTCTAATCTGGTTTTATTTTCTCCTCTATATAACAAATGCGAATGTCACTGTGTCATACTTTTTCAACTCCTAGAGACCGTAGCCCAACATATTTTATCATTTTGGAATCAGGCTGACCCCATGAGCAAATTAGAAACATTCTGGGCCTCATCTGGCCCCACAACGGGATTTTTTTTGTACAATAACAGTTTTTATAACTTGGAAATAAATTTTGGAATAATTGAAATTGATCACAAAATCCAGCTAAAAGTCACCCATAAAATAAAAATAATTGTTTGTACGGAAAGTAAGGACCTACATACATCAAATTGCTTTTAAATTAGATATTAATGCAATACTTAAATGCAGTGTTCAGTTTTGAGTTCTTCTGTAGTTTATTGTTGCTATTGCATCTAATCCCCGATACCTATTGTGATGAAAGCACAATCAAGTGCACTCTGCAGGAGCTAACTTAAATGCCGCCCAATAGGGTGCCTTTTAAGCTAGCTAGCTATACGTATGGAAAATTTTTTTTTTTTTAGATTCATGACATTATCAATTTAATAAATTTTCTCTTATATTGTAAAATGGAGATTAGCTTGAGAGTGCCTCTCCCCCGCCCCATTATGTTTTGTGAAGTTGATGTAAAGCAGTGCATATGATAAAGATTTAATTAAAAAAAAATGATATTAATTAAGGGCTTCTGTCTGAATTTCTGGGGTGAGGAGTCATTATTTACATATTGTTCTCATTTTTATTATCACAATGTTTTGGCCTTTGTGCACTTTGACATACAACTGACATGGGTCAATCTGGATAACCTACTGAGAATTCCAAACAGAACTCTTTATTTAATCTACAAGAACAGCCTGCCCCCATCTATTTAAATAAATGTTTCAGTTCAGAATTCCCTGTAGGTGACCTGTATCAACATACACCTAGTGAAGACTGGAGAACACAATGGCCAAAACGTGATGGCAATAATATAGATGAGGACAATAGTCTGGAAAATAGCAATTAGAGATTTATAAAATAAATATTAATTCCAGATTTATAAAAAAAAAAGTTTGTTGTATTAATAATAGGTTTCTACCTAAAAGCCATTAATGTCTACCATCCCAAAAATGTGATCACAGATATCAATGGGCTAAAGCATTTTAATCACATTAAATATTGAAATCCACTTGATATTGGAGTTTTTTTTGTTTTTTTAAGTGTTTCACCCCCAAGCAAGGCGGGAAGCCATTAGCACGCAAGGGGTTACAGAGAGTTGGAGCTAGAGCAAATAGTAGTGATAGAAGAAAGGATGAAGAGAAGGATAGAGGATAGATCAAGGCATCTCGAGATGTTGATTGACATTAGATTTGAATAGTTGGAGATTATAGCTATCAGGGAAACAGGAAAAGGGAAGGGAGTTCCACAGGCGAGAAGTGCGAGACATAAAGCTATTGGAGTAGAAGAGACGGCTACATTTAACAGTTTTGACAGTGAAAGGGTGTGAGTGAGATGCTAGCCTAATAGAACGCTTAAATTCATGAAGTTTGGGAACCACCAAATGTAATAAAAGCACTTATTTTTAATCATGAGAAAACTCTTGATAGTTTCTGCATGACTTCAATCAAAGATGACACACAGAGTATGCTTTACATTGCCTGGCAACCCTTGCACAAATGTGCAAGCCAGTATATAGTCACTCATCCTGCCCATCAAGAACGCAAGTTTCTTCAATACAGCAAGGTATGGATTTGCTGTACTGCAGGTGCAGCTCAATAAGTTGTTTGTATGCCATGAACGAATCTATAGCAAAGTCTGGAAACTAAGGCAGTCTTTATCTGGTCAACATCAGATTTTGCTTTACCATCCAGCTGCTGGTAGATTGCAAATACTCTGCCCATAAGTCTCAAAGGGATCATGTGTTCCAGAGACTTCACTCCACACAACCTGAAAATGAGTTCCAGTTTCTCTATCTATTCAACCACTGGATACCAATCGATCAAACTCAGGAATTAACTTAAGTCAAATTTTGTGTCTGCCATCATCCACCAGTTGCCGAAATAACTTGTGTTCATCTTGTCTTGCTTTTGCACATCTGCATGTTGAGACTGACCTCTCGACTGAGCAATATAGCTCTCCCAGTCTCAGACTGACTATTGGCTAATACCTGTCCGGTATTGTTCATATGCAAATAGTCAGCACCACCTACTCTAAGTAGGTCTTCTGTCAACAGCCTATTGTGGAAGAAGATGTAGCTCCTGATACTTACAGCACCACATGCAACCAACTCTGAGTCTCTTATCAAGTTGACCCGATTCTCTGTTACAGTAATGCTCTAAATATGGCATTTTTTCAATGATCCTAAATTTTGAAAGTTTCTGAATCCTGCTGAGGGTCAGTTTTCCCTCCACCATAAATTTTAAAGCATCATAATCAACAGCTAAGTGTTCTCACCTCCTATGTTTTAATTCATGGGACAAATCCCAACCTGTAAAATGTTTAAAGGTTACTTGAAGCACTAGTTAACATTATTCTGACTATTGTCCTCATCTTTGTCACCATATTTATTACGTTTCGGCCTGTGTACACGCCGGCCTTCTTCAGGTGGTTGGAATATTGAACTGAACCCTTTATTTCACTCAATGGGGTAGACTGTTCTAGTTCCACGTGCCATGTTTAATGGATCTCAGTTATTAGTTATCTCCTCTTAATTCCCCTCTCCAAGTTCTCCACTGCCTTAACGGGGTATTGAACTCACTGGATCTAACCAACACGTTTATCCACTGTGCCATGTGTCCTTGTATGAATTTCTGGGTATTATAAACCTAATGTCTCAGCAATCAATTTTTACCAGTGCTCATATTGCAATTTTTTGCTGTTATCATTTCAAGTTTTTACTAGAGCTCGTGTTGCAATTTTTGTTGTTATTATTGCTTTTCTCTGGCACTCCTTATTACTGGTTCCCCATACTGTATTCATTTCTATGCTTGGTCGGCTCAGATTTTTGATAAGGACAATAGTCCAAATAATGTAAATAGTGTACATAATACCTCATCTCAGAAATATAGACAGCTACTTGAGACAGCACAATCATTCATTTCTTTCTCATTCTTTACATCTGCAATTAAGTGATAAACTCATTTTCCTTCTATGTTGAATTGACAAGGTTAAAACAAAGAGTAAAACAAATCTGTGCTCTCTTTGGTTTGAAATGATCCACTTATCCCAAATTTTCATAAACAAAATCCTAACTAAATAATTTTCAAAAGTTCACTATACCTCATCTGTTTGGGAAAGGCAGAAATCAAGGTCCATGGTCAATGCCGTGTCCAGATCCTTGCGACTGCAGTCTGAAAACAAGCGGGAATGCAGGCCAGTGGAGCGTCTGAAATAAAAAAAAAAAAAAAACACACAAATATACATAGAGTAAATCTATTGTCAGTCATGTTTACTTTTATTCCTGACCACTGATAATCCTTTTCTTCTGGATGTTCAATCCATTTCTATAATAAAATCATTAGCAATGACAACCCTTTCTTTGTAGATTTTCAATTCATTTCTATAGTAAAATAATTTTCACTCTTCTAATCTTGTTTTATTTGCTTTAGATATATGTATTGGAAACTTTTCTCTTCTTTTTTAAATTCATGACATTATCAAGTCAATCAATGTGTGTGTTTTAGATTTTCAATTCATTTCTATAGTAAAATAATTTACTTAGGTTATATGAACAGTATTAAAAAGTAATTGTAACAATGCATTCTATAGTAAAATAATTTCCCCAAATTTTCTATATATGCTTTCAATACAGATGTACTTCATTTCATTGTGCTTTGTAGATATTGCACTTATTTTTTAAACAAATTGAAGGTTTGTGGTCACTTGATGTTGAGAAAATTGATCAGTGTCATTTTGAGAATTATATTTTCTCTCTGTGTCACATTTTGGTAGCAATAAAATCATTTTTTTAATTAAGCTATGTACACTTTTACATCGGGATGCAATGAATATCAGCTTAGAATGAAAAATTGGAGAGCCAAGTTCAAATTCCAGTCATGTTTGTTACATTCACTTATGCACAAATACCCTATGAATCAATTTCTTCTTCTCCTCCAGCTATGGGTTAAATAGCAGGACAGATTGGATCTTTAGTTTTGGCTGGCAACCAATCTACTGCAGAAAGAAATGTCAACCTACTATGAGAAAAATCTTCTGCCTTGTCTGTCATATATCAAAAGATGCATGATTGCCCAAGTGTATATCACTTAACTGCCTGATGTAGATTTTTATTTTTCTAGACCTATGCTATTTAAAAGACTACAGTTATAAAACAAAGAATATGTGTGATTCACTTGTCATAGTTACTTTTTCTATGATGTTCTAGGAATGAACCTGCAATATCTGTAAGGTATACTTATATTTGCTGTGTTACTAAATCACTGGTTAGTTGAGTGAATGAAAATTTTCATGAATTTGCTTAATAAATCCTACCTGTGATATCAGGAATTACATAAAAAGCTCAAAAGATCAAGAAAGAAATTATTGCTTGTTATATTTTTTTTGTCTTTATAATGAATATTTGCTGTGTCAGTTGAACACTGATCTCTTATTCCAATCTCTGATTAGAATAGTTTAAAATATCCAATAGCCATTAGAATAACACAATAAACTGGAAGTAACTGACCTTGCTACTCATAATACTTCAATGACTAGCATATATAAATAGTTGAGCTGTACTACCTAAACCACATGGTCTGAAGATAGTCTTTTTTATACATGAAGGCAGTCATCACTCGGTGTTGAATCCCTCTTATATTTATTTACACACTCTCTATTGAGCACTTTTACTCATAAATATAGCTTACTTTTTTTAAAACTATATTTTATCATATATGATAGTAAACATGACATTTTGGGATCTTATTAAAAACATGACAAGCACATGCCACAGTGACAGAACTGATTATCAGATACTTAAAATTGTTGCAATTTTTTTTTTTTGCTTGTGTTTGTACCCATGATGGGTGACTACCAAGCAGTAGATTGAAGTAGACCCCATCCAACAAAACAAAAACATAGCTACTTGATTGATTTGCTTTCTACAGCTTATCAACCCTTGGCAGATTATTTTAAAAAAAAAACCCAAAATTTTTATTTATTTTGAGATAATAAAGATTTAGTGATACTAGCCTTACTAATTAACCCATAGATGGAGGAAAAGTAAATTCATACTTTTCCCAAGGGTATTTGTGTGTAAGTGAATATAATGAATCCAAAGGGAATTGGAACTTGGCTCTCCAAGCTTAGAGCAACTGGTCACCAAGTGGTCACCCATGTAGGCATTGACCAACATCAATGTTGCTTAACTTTGGTGATCTTATGGGATCCAGTGTTTCAACATATGACCATAAGCCACATATAGTTGGATATTCAATGAATTAAATAAAATTCATACATATATACATACTTTTTTAATTCTCTCTCTCTCTCTCTCCCCATCTCCCCTGCAGTGAACTGGCTCAACAAAAACTTGTTCACATGTCTATATTAGCTAATGAGCTCTGATTGAGAAGGTCTTACTACTGGAGGAATGATATAATTCAAAATTTTTCTTGTAAGCATATATCATTGTTTCTGCGATTGTTTATTAAATCAATCAACATGCTAAATTGAGATCTACAAAATCTTAAGACCAGTGGCATTTATTGAAAATTACCTTTTGGATTTTAGCCTAAAATGTAAACGGAAATAAATTGTAATAGTGAAAATTTTCATGGTTTCTGGCTATAAAAGAAATAGATAAAGATCGAATTAGCCATGAAATATATATTTAATGGCAGTAGAGTATGTCAGTCAGACATAGGCATAAAACTCAAATTTACTAGCTGACCACTTGTATAGAATATGTACAAATCCCCAGACAGACAAAGGATTGAGGATATTTAGGGCTGGAAACCTTCTGACTTTGGATATGGATAAAATGAAAATATAATTTAAAAAAAAAAAAAAAAAAAAAACAGTAAATGGTTAGTTAAAGAACTATTTGTAATAAAGAATTATTTTTTTTTTAACAAACATTCACCCAATACAATGCCCAAGAGCCACTCAAGGTAGAGATTTACTGAATGAGATTATTGTATGTGGAAGAAGTAAGAAGTGTAGTTTATAAGTATATGTTGGACAGGCATCAAAAGGTTAAAATTGTTATGATCATGAAAGTATATAGGGTATATAAAATAATAGATATGAATAAGTGGATTGACTGATAATAATTAAGGTAGTGGGTATATAAGAAGAATGCTACTTACAGTACTTTGGTTGACATGAGGCAACCAAATTGATCTTCACAGGTACAACCACCTTTGAGGAAAAGAAACACATTTTAATATGAAATCAAGGAAAAAGTTCAGAAGTCAATCATGATAGTGTGTAAAAATATGTAAAATCATACTTATTATAAACCCCAGGTTGAGTGTGTGTGTGTGTGTGTGTCTGTACGTTTATATATTGGATCGGATTTCCTACATTTTTCAACCAACTTCAACAAAACTTCACAGGACTATGTAAAATTACCTTGTGGTAGTTCTGACAACACCAAAAATTGGAAAAACACAATCGTTTTTGCACAAAATCAATTTGAAAACATGATTAAGAGGCATCACGAGAATGAAAGGGGGACAACTCATATCAAGTTTTACTTATTATAAAACCCAGGTTGTTTATGTGTGTGTGTGTGTGTTCATTTATATATGGAATTGGATTTCCTACATTTTTCAACCGATTTCAACAAAACTTCACTTTTTTTTTTTTTTTTTTTTTTTGGCAGGTAGTGTTTCTTATTGTCTTGCACACTTTTTTCTTTATTTTTACATTCAGAATGCTTTAAAAATTCCATTTACAAGACAATTGTTTATAATAAAATTTTATTCAATCGATAGACTCATAACGATTGAAAACAATGTTTTTTGTTTGGGTTTGACCAATTCATAAAAAAACCCTAACAAAACAAAAAAAACTCTGTCAACCTTAAACAATATTCTTTGTAAATTTTATTTTTCAGTTTTTATGATGGTCGATACTTGATCTATCTCTTACTGTTACATCCCCGGGCAACGCCGGGCTCTACTGCTAGTATTGTATGAAATTGAATCTAATTCAAGGTCATAATATGTGGAATAGGGGTACAATTTGTGATGATCGTGTATTAAAATGATTTAAGTTTAACACTTCTATGGATTATACCTCTGGCATATTACGTATATTACTGGCAGAATTATCCATTTTTCTGTTTAAAATAAAATACTCTATGTAAATTCTCGCATCTCTAGTGTGTATTTTGAGAAAGACAAAAGGATTTTCATCCATATTGTGCTTTTGGCAGGAGTTTTTGCTGATAGTATAATGACTAGTAACTCAGAAAAAAAATCAGCAAGCTGAATTTAAATTCCAGTTGCATTTGTTACAGTCACTTTCATACAAATACCCTTGGGAAAGGTATGAAGCCTTCTCTTTCACTTTCAGGTAACTGTGCTCTCTAGCCTTGGCTGGCAACCAGTCTAAGAGAAAGACAATTCTGAATTCAAAACTGGTTCTTAATGGTCAGATAGCTCTTTTAGCTTTGGTTGACAATCTTCTATCTAAAGAAATTGACTTGATAAAAATAACCATCTCTAAGTTTCTTGGAGTATTCGTGAGGATGTACCAACCTGTACATATACTGACAGAAATTTGTAAGTCAGGCGTGCAATCTCTTACAGGTGGAGATAAGGTTTTTGCTCTTATATCACAGGGTAATTTACAGCAATTGGTGGAAGATTTTTACAATAGGTCATTTCTTTCTTGATTTTTTTTTTTCCATTCATTGGAGTTTGCTAACACTGGAAGATATTCATTAATTTTTTTTTTTTTTTTTTTATTGAAATAATGTAGATTTATAACATTGTATTTGCAAAGAAACTAATATATCTACTAAAAACTGTTATGAATTGGAAAAGACGTTGTGTCAAATGATGAGTATTTTTACACTGAAAATACATCAAAGGATGAAAAATTGTGAAATAATTGTCAGGGTACATAATTTAAATTTTTTTTATCATTTAAACTAATTTGGTCAGAGGTATTAATTCATTAATAACCACTGTAAAATCTGGTATTAATGGTAAAAATTGAAATAAGTCTGGTATTAATTGTAGGTTTCTTTAAAAAAACATAATAAATAAATAGTAAGTAATAAAAAATAAATAATAATAAAATAAATAATAGTAAAAATAAATATTAAAAAAAATCTCCAGTATTAATTATAGATTTATTATAAAACAATCTCTGGTAATAATTATGAGTTTCAACATATGACCCATTAATGCCTACTGTACTAAAAATGGGTGAAAGTATTTTAATTAATTTAAATCCTGAAATATGTTTATTGGAGTGTATTAAAAGTATTTTTATTTTATATGGATCCACTTGATAGCTTCTAAAGGTTTTCAAAGCTTACATAATGTTACAAATAGAATATTTTTCAATGATCATAATTTTTCTGAAAGTTTTGATGGTAGTTGGGTTATCCTCCAAATTTAATTTTAAAGCATTATAATTGAAAACTGATGATTGTCTATTTTTGGCCTTTATTTCATGGAACAATACACTGCCCTTTAAGTTGTTATGGTTAGATATTGTTTCATTTCATTTATTTCAAGGGACAAATCACCACTCTTAAAATGCTTAAACCAGTTTTGCACAGAATGGTCAGTAATGGTTTCATTTGCTTCTGATTTCTGCAAACAGCTCTAAATTCCTGTTTAAAATAATGCCTAATAAAACCCAAGTATTGTATTTGCAAGATTAACAAATGAAACTCAACATACAGCTGAACACAACTGATAATGAAATATGAAATCCCAAAATGTAACTATCAGACAGAAAATTTTGGAATGACTTCAAGATTCATGCAATGAAGTTTTGTGTTCTTAATGTTTTTAGATTAGATTCCAACTTTGTTCTTCTACGTTGGTTTTCTTACTGGACCTTTCTAAATTATTGAGAACATTTCAGTTCAGTTAGGGTCCTTAATAGTTAACTTGCTTTTTTTTTTCTATCTCTCTCCCTCTCTTTATGTGTTTAAGTCTGGCTTCTTTTGTTTTTTGCAAGGTTGCATTAATTCTAGTTTTTTTATATATATATATATATATATATATATATATATATATATATATATATATATATATATATATATAAAATGGTCAAAAGTCCAACAATTATTTTAAGACATTTTATATGTTTAACATTCTTTTATAGATGCAAATATTTAAGTAAATGCTCTGTTTATAATATTTGTATCTATAAAAAGAATGTTAAACATAAAAATGTCTTTATATATATATATATATATATATATATATATATATATATATATACACTAGATTAAAAGCTGCACTCCAAGTGAACTTTTAACTGCAGAAGGTTAATTGGGCCTCCCAGCCAAAAACTAAAGAGGTCTTCTGGTCTCACTTAAAAAAAACAGCAATGATAATTTGAAGAAATAACTTTGAATTCCTCAATTCATCTCCATGGAATCTCAAAGCTTCACTAACTCTGATTTGTTCTATAAGTGCCATTCTGGATGAAATTCCAATTCAGGCCAAAAATTGAGTTCTTCAAATCAAACTCTGCAGAATTTCGAAACCTCACATCATGAAACCTCTCATTTTAACTCTGATTCTTTGGTATTTTCAAGAAATAAAATTGATTTCCTCATTTCACAAAGTTTTGGAGATATTTTAAACTGAATTTAAAACAAAAATTTTTAAATTCACAATTTTTTTTTGTGCTACTTTAAACTCAATATAAATTAAAAACTTTTAAAATCATTTTTTTTATTTGTTTTTTTTATTTTAAAATTTGAATTTTTAACTGTTCCCTCCTCATCTGGACACAAATCCTAATGCTGGATATTCAAGCACCAGATGAAAGGCAGATTTTCAATCCTAGGATCATCCTGATTCCAAAAAGGTATAATATGTCTATGTAGAGTAAATGTGGCCCAAGTTAGAGGGGTTTCAGACACTCAGATGGACAGATAGAATTTGACGTTTACTTATTTAGAAGATATATAGTGAACTCATAGTCTTTAATGTGTATGAAATAAGCTTTGGAGTAAAGGTCTATAAAAAATGAAAATATTTTTGATACACTATAATATTTATAATATAGTGAAATCATATATAATCTTTAGATGTATACATGAAATAAGCTTTTGGGTAAATGTCTGTAAAAAAAAAAAAAACAAGTACATTTGATAAATCCTATTATTACACAAAACCATGAAAGCAAATAAATACTTCATGTTGGTTGAATTCCTGGAATGCAAATTCTCAACTGAGAAAATGATGGTTGATTTTATCTTTTATGATACCAAACTTCAATTTCAAAGAGCAGACAACATGAAGAGTGTCAGACTTAATAACAGTGCAAATTGATGGTAAAGGCAAAAGCAGTAAACAAATATTACAACACTTAGTGACAAAGACAAAACTAAAGAAAGCTGTGGGTCTTGATACACAATCATAACGAATATCCCCATCTTTTTTGAATGAACCCTCTAAAACTCAAAATTAGTCTATTTGGCTGATGATACTAATGTAACTTGTCAACACAATCATAATGTAATTCGATAAAAGCAGAGATGGAAAAATCTGGAATGATTTAACACATTAAACAAAACTTATTCAGACTAATATCCTCATCTTTGTTGTTTTTACTGTAACATTTCCTCTGATATGTTCTTTGGTTTTCCATGATGTTTGTAAAATGGATGAGTATAGTTTCTTCATTCAGCACAAAAAATTAAGATACTTGCTACTTTTTTAATAGTCCCTTTTTTGTTTTTAATTTTTGATATGAGAAGTTATTAGAAATAGGATTTATTTAAATTTTTCTTCTCTTATATAGGATAAGGAAAAAACATTTACAAATCTAATGTTTTGCTTTTATTAGAGCTTCATCAGAGAATGAAATATGGAAGGGGAAAAGAAAATTCTGTTATTTTTAATTTTTGTGTTTGTTTTTCAATGGTTAAGCAAGCCTTACATGCATCTGTCTTGTCAAGCAGCATTTGTGTGTATAATTCATGTGTGTAGGTGTACCATAATTCTAGTTTATGTGGGATTTGGATAATAATGTATATTCATTTGTATGAGTACACATCTAGCAGCCATTTTTACTCATGTTTGATGGTTGTCTGCATGTTGATTTAGAGACATTTTGTGTAAGGGTGAAAGAATTTAATATATTTGACCTCGACCATATATACTGGATGTAAGGGCAAAATTGTCTAAATCGTCTAACAGCATCCCACAAAATGT